GGGGCGTGGAGCTCCGGCGGCTTTTTTTTTTTTGCGCACCCCCCCGCCCACGTCCCGATATTTCACCTGGGTGATCTGGTCACCCTATTCTTGACCTATCTACTGCTTCTCGGGGAGGTGAATTACCAATTGCAATGGGAGAACCTCTCCTGTTGGCGTAAGTAATGTCTACACTGAAGCTATACAGCAGCACAGCTTCAGCTCTGCTGCTGTAGTGTTTTAAGCATAGACATATCCTCAGTTTCCTTTAAACATGAAGTTGGATGCCCATCAGTTGTCAAGATATTGTGGCTGGTAAAGGGATAAACAGCAGCTAGTGGAATCCTGCTAATCTTCCTGCTCAGGTCTGGTTTCATCTTAGTTTGCTTTAGTGGTCAAATGCTGATCCTTCCGATCAAACTGATCTGTGTTTGAGGTTTGGTTCTGGGTACTTCTTATGGCTCCTGGGCAATCCTACTATCCTACTGGTTACTGGATTCCTTTTTAAGCTTGGGAGCAGCTTTGTCCTTCCTGCATGACTGGAATATGCGATAACTTTCTTGAACTGAGAGTTCCAGCGTCTTTGTTGTATAGCATTAGTAAAGTCATAAAGGCTCATCTGTCACACTTAGAACCACTATCAAATACAAAGAGCACCCCAGAAGCTCAATGTGTTTTAGCTTTCTAGTCTGAGTGCCAAGAAGCCTTCAGACATAACCAACATTGTCTGTTACTTAGATGAGTTTGCTTTAGCTGCTCTGTTATATCGAGGTAACAAGTTCTAATGATCTCCTCACCTGTCTATTCCTTATTCTCATCATAAACCACCACCACTGCTATTTTAGAGAGTCTCCGGATATTTAAAAAAAAAAAGCAAAGCATGTTCCTATAAACTGGATAAAATTACCATGACTTGCCCCACTCCAGGTCAAAATAACCAAGGAAAAATGACAACAAAGGCCAACTGACTTTAGGTAGCTTTTCAAGATTAGTTTATGAAGTAACTCATTATAGACATGTTCTCATAGAAGACCTCCCTGCCTCAGTTATCAGAAGGCACTCAAATTTCAGCAAGTATCTTGTACTGACATGTCAATCCTTTTATTTCCAAATTTAGAGAATGTGCTCCTACAAATTAGCTTAAAAACACTCAATCTCAGCACCACTGGAATATCAAAACAAATGAGAGAGACAGGATTTAGCTTAAGCAATGATTCTTCAAATACTTCTAACCAAGAGTAATATTATATAATAGAACTTCAGAGTTATAAACTGACCGGTCAACTACACACCTCATTTGAAACCAGAACTATGCAATCAGGCAGCAGCAGGGGTGAGGTGGGGTGACAAATAATACTGTGTTAAATGTAAGCCACTAAAAAAATAAAGGGAAAGTTTAAAAAAGTATTTGACAAGGTAAGGAAACTGTTTCTGTGCTTGTTTCATTTAAATTAAGATAGTTAAAAGCAGCATTTTTCTTCTGCATAGTAAAGTTTCAAAGTTGTATGAAGTCAATGTTCAGTTGTAAGCTTATGAAAGAAGCATAACGTTTTACAACCGTTTCAGAGTTATGAACAACCTCTGTTCCAGAAGTGTTTGTAACTGAGGGTCTACTTACATGTGAATACTCCCATTAAATTCAACGGGGCTACTCATCAAGGCAGCAATGATGGAACTGTCATTTCAATATAATTGTTATACCATCATCATGGCTTCCCTTAGAGATATTAAACACATAAAGCAAATACAAGATGCATGGGAATAAACACTGATTTTTGCATCAACATGAGCTTTAATACATAATTTAAAAGGTAAAAGTTAGATACGTTAAATTAAATCAGTTAAAAGTAAATTTCACTATATATAAATAAGTGACTTTATATTTTGCTTTCAAAAGTACATTATAAAACACTAAATGCTTAAGATTTTATTCCTATTGCTTTTTAAGTTTGTTTGTAACACCTCCTTATAGGCTTCTTTCTCTTAAATTTGCTGTGCATATCAAACAGACATTGGAGTCTCTCCAGTAGGGATCCACTCATTGCCACAGGACTGCAGCAGGACAGCTCTGCTTTTCTGTCAAAATGGCTTTTTAATTTCTGGTTCAGAAGCTTTGAAAAATAACTCTGCTTGGACCACGCAGGCCATTCAGTACTAGGCTGTGCAAAGCTAAAGCAGGGGAAGTTTCAGGCCCAACAAGTGCCAAGGGGGATAAATGGATCTAGGTCAGGGTTTCTCAAACTGGGGGTTAGGACCCCTCAAGTGGTCATGAGATTACATGGGGGGGTCACAAGCGGTCAGCCTTCACCCCAAACCCTGCTTTGCCTCCTGCATTTATAATGGTGTTAATCATATTTAAAAGTGTTTTTAATTTATAAGGGGGGGGGGGTCGCACTCAGAGGCTTGCTATGTGAAAGGAGTCACCAGTACAAAAGTTTGAGAACCACTGATCGAGGTGCTCTCAGAATGAAGCAGAAGCTTCAGGGGTCATCACCTGAAGGCAATAAAGTCAGTGGAACCACAAACTCGCCTTGCAGGGGGACCTGCCAGAGGGATCCCGCAGCTTGTGTGCGGGGGCAGTCAGCCAGAAACAGGCCCCAGGCCAGCAGCCCCCGCAGGGCGCTGACTCCAGCCTCCTCTCCTAGGCAGGTGCGGGGTGGCGTGGGAGCGAGGCGGTACCTTTTGGGGATCCTGAGTCTGGCCGAGCCGCTCTTTCAGATACAAGACCCTCGGCACCACGCTCGCAGCCTCTGCCATAGCAAAGCCCTGCAGCGCCCAGGCACCTGGCCCAGCCGCTACGCGCCCGCGCAGCTCCGAGCTCTCGGCTGGCCGCACCTGCCCCCCGGCGGCGCCTCTTATAGCAGCGGCCTGAGCGCCACAGCCCGGCCGGGCCTGTCCCTCCTCGCTTGCTGGCGGGGCGGAGCTCTGAGCTGCGCCTCTCCCCGGAGCCGGGCTCAGCCCTGCAGCCCGCGCCGCGGGGAGCCCGGCTTGCTGGTCCCTGCCCTCACGACTTGTTGAGCCCGCCCGTCAGTGCCGCCGCTTTCCACCCTCTCTCCCTGGGGGCGCCCCTTCCTCCCCGTCCAGCCTTTCCCCTGGGTCCCACCCCCTCTCCCGGCATGTCCCTTCTCCCCCACCCACTTCGTCCGCCTTGAGCTGCTTGAGAACCAATGATTTGTATTGTCAAGCCCCTCGTGGTTGTTGGCGGTGCAGTTGTAGCCCGGTGGGTCCCAGGATCAGAGAAGGGCAGGTGTGGGACAGTGGGGCATAGCTTTGGAATTGGACCAACTTCTGTGTGGGGAGAGAGCCAGAGGTGAAAGTGGCCCGGTACAGCATACCGGTAAGAAAGTGGCCATCAGTGCAGGCCAGTACACAGCCCACGTTAAAGTGCTGCCGTGACAGCACTTTAAGCACCATACCGGCAGGGCGGCTGATGGGGGAGGGGAGGCGGGCAAAAGGGGCAGCTGGCCCAGGTCCCTGGGCCCTTTAAATCACTGCCGGAGCCCTGGGCAGCACAGGCCAGGCAGCGCTGTAGGGCTGGCTGGAGAAGTCTAGCCCCAGCCTCGCCCCTTCCACCCAAGACCCTGCCCCCTTCAGGGGGTCCAGAGCGGCCCCTCCCCTACCTTGCCCAGGACCGCGGCTACCCTGCATACCGATAAGTCCTTTAAGTTACTTTTCACCCCTGGAGAGAGCCAAGCTTTGGAGCCTGTACAGAGCTGAGCTGCGCAGCCTGTCTCTCACCCCCAACTTGGGCCAATCAAAGCTATGACCTCCAGCACCTTGTCTCTCCCACAATCTAATGAAACATGTTCAGGAAAACTCAGCCCTGTTGATGTGGACAAAATAAAACCAACAACGTTTTCACCCAGCTCCAGTTTATCTTTTCTCCAGCTTGGAGGATCAGAGCCCTCATGGACACCCCGACCCCTTGTTAATTTTGGGCTACCTTGTTCCGCTCTCTTGGTTAAGTCTGCGACTCTCTAAGCAGCCCATATTCCTCCCATCTCTTCCCTTATGCTGCCCAGTGACTGGGTTAGGGGTTCTTCCCATATTGTTCGTGTTTGGGGAGCAGACATGAAGAAGGCAAAGCCTTTGCTTGCCTTTTTCTCCCCACCCACCACCACCGTCATCATCACTGTGGCAGGCCCACCCAGTGCTTAATTCTTTCCAGGTCTTGCCAGGGCTGGCACCTCTAGGCTTGGCAGTTCATAGCCCCAGCACCTCTGGGCTTGCTGCATCAGTTAAGAATGTAAAAAAATTGCTTCAGCCCTAGCATTTAATTGATTGAGCTCCAACACCCCTTTCATTACAAATTAAGCACTCGCAAGCCCTCTCCCTGGCAGGGTTTATACCCAGGCAGTGGTGGAGGATGCCCTGGCTGCTCTTGCTACCACCACCACCAGGGCCGGTTCCAGGGTTTTTGCTGCCCCAAGCAGCAAAAAGAAGAAAGAAAAAAAAAAGCTGCAATCATGATCTGCGGCATTTCGGCGGCAGCTCTACCGCCGCCGCTTCAGTCTTCGGCGGCAATTCGGCGGCTGGTCCTTCGCTCTGAGAGGGAGTGAGGGACTTGCTGTCGAAGAGCCGGACGTGCCGCCCCTCTCCGTTGGCCACCCCAAGCACCTGCTTGCTGGGCTGGTGCCTGGAGCCGGCCCTGACCACCAACAAAGCAGACCCTGCCCCTTCCACCAGCCATTGAAACCCCTAGGAAGCTTTGAAGACACCATCACAGACATTGATTTGTAGGTGCCATCAGTGCTTAATTTGTAATGATAGAGGTGCTGGAGCTCAAGCAATTAAATGCTAGGGCTCAAGCAATTTTTTTACATTCATCAGTGATGCAACAATGCAGAGGTGCTGGAGCTATGAACTGCCAAACCTTACGGTCACAGGGCTCAGCCCTGGAAAGCCCTGGCACAAATTAAGCTCTGGGTGCAGTTAATAATTCATGTAGTCCTACCACATGCAGCATGGTGGAAGGGTGACGTAGTGGATAGGGCACTGGACTCGAGAGCAGGGTTCAATTCTGGACTCAGCCACATACTTTCTGTGTGACCTTGCTTAACCTACTCTACACCTCAGTTCTCCTTTAGTGAAATGGGGATAAGGTTTCCCTACTTCACAGGAGTAGTGAGGACAAAAATCCATTAGGAGCTATGGTGATAAGGGCTATATAAGTACCTAGATAGAGTGAGGGAATGTGGTGGTCAATTATTTTTGTAATATTCTCATCATCATGAAGTTTGCTGTAGTGTCTCCCTATGATAGCATTCTAGGTTCTCACTAAACAGCAAAACTCCTCTAGTAGAGGGTGCTAGAAAGGACAAGTCCAGATACGTCCAAAAATATTATTATTATTCTATAGCAAACACAGGTGCTTCCCAGATAATATGAAAGGACATGATCCCTACTTGGAAGACCTTGCGATCTTTAAACATGACATGAGAGGTGAAGGAGAATGAAGGTGACACACAGTAGGGTAGGGGATGGGGAGTAAGATGAGAGTTGCAGCAATACAGTAGTACAGCTACTCATTTTAGGCATATGTCCTTATTGGTGGCTCTGTTAAGCATTTTTTAGTATCTTATTTATTTTTTTAATTTTTATATAACAGGCCAGATCCTGTCCAACATTAAGATTACCTAGCTGGCCATTGGAGAATCCTCCCTGCCTATTACAATCCTCAGGTGGCGTGGCATAGAGTTGTTGTAGTGAGTACTACTGTCTGGCATGGCATGAACGATGGGGGCTTGAGGAAGGGATGTGGCTGGAAGTTCCTTATGCCCCAGTGACGCTGTGGCACTGCACCCCATATTATTCATAGAAATATTGTTATGATGTGAATATGGCATAACTAAAACATGTTTCATGCAAGATGGGTCATGTGAGGTATCATTGGAAAGGATATGATCTACTGAATGTGATTATCCAATTTGTATGCATGTATCATTTCTGTATCTGAGGTTAGGAATATTGACTATGTAACAATTACAACTGTGTGTGTATTTGGGGGAACGCCCACCAGACGGTAGGCAATCATCCTCAGTGGGCCATTATGAAGAACAATAAGACTTGGAAGATACTAATCTCCCACCTTCCTGAGAAGCTCACTGGATTTCTGCTTTGACACTACAGGGTCAGGTGATCGGGTCACCTGGTATTAGACGTCCATCTGAGGCTTTCAGTGTTTTTCCATTAAGAGGGGGTGAGGGGTCACATTGGGAAACAAAAGATTCCTGCCTTATGTAAATTCTAATTAAGGTTGGGAAGTAAGGCAATCAGGACTCTTCTCCATTGCCTCCCAGTCCAAGAAGGAAGATTGCTAAAAACAACTGAAGGGAAGGGGAAAGGCAAGGGCTGAGTCCAGGATGAGACAGGGGTCCAGTCTGTAAAGAGAAATTACTGGAACTCTAAGCTACAGAAGCTCTGCAACCTGCCTAAAACAACATTTAGGGTGAGAAATTACACTTTGTAACCTGTTTCTTGAGTGTATTAAGCTTAGTTTGTGTGTTTTTTTTTATTTTCTCAGTAATCTGTTTTGTTCTGTTTGCGATCCCTTATAAGCACTTAAAATTTACCTTTTGTAGTTAATAAACTTATTTCTTGTTTATTTCAAAACCCAGGTTTTGCAATTCATATCTGGGGGAGCAAAAAGCTGTGCATATCTCTCTCCACATTGAGGGAGAGGGTGAATTTTTATGAGCTTGCGCTGTGCAGATCTTCTATACAGCACAAGACAATATTATTTTTGGTTTATACCCCAAAGGATGTGTGCACATGAGTGCTGGCTATTCTCCTAGCTAAGTCCTCCCACACAGAGCTGATTTCAGTCTGTGTCTGCATCTGGGTGTGGCCTTACCTGTGTGTGTGCTGGAGAAGGCTTGAGAGCCTAGCACACCAAGAATAGGGTGAGGAAACCCAGGCTGGTGGAAAGGGCAGGCTCAGTGAGACCCCAGCACATCAGGTGGCACCCTGGATGGGGGGGGGGTCCAACCCATCACAGACCCCCATCTGCAGAAGGCCACAGCCACTGTTTACCAGGCTGCAGCCTGGTGGATGGACAATTCAGGAATAGTTAGTCATAAAAGGCACTTTGCACTTGCACTTCCACCCGTCCCACTCCTTCAAGTACCGCTCAGCCACAGCTGAGGATCTGGTCCACTCAACAGATTTTACTCACTTATTGTGGGTATCACGGAATAAGAGAATTTTCTGAAAATAGTAGTGACTTGACATATTGGTGGAAATGCATGCCCCTATAGGAATCTATGTGTGATGAAGAGTAAATGCTTTACTTTATTTTACCTATTTTTCTTAAATAAGCAGTGCATTGTTTAACAAGCAGATGTAATTAGGGTTTGTCTTTTGAATTGTGTTGGGGGGGAAAGCTACACCTTGTGCCAAAATGTCTTGGAAAGGCTCTGTTCTTAGGGTGGGAAGAGTAAAACCATGAAGTCCAACAATACATCAGTGCCAAGGTCACAAGAATGGATGAGGAGTTTCTCTCATAAGAGGTGCTACAGATGATGGACTGGAACCAATGTTGGCGTTGGAAGTCCTGTGCATTTACTAATACTAGGGTATAAAGACCTGCTGTTATAAGGTGTTTTGCATTTTTGTTACCTGATAACACAGCGACAGGACAGAAGGTCAAATCCTGACTCCATTCTGTCTGTGGTACTTATGCGGCCCCCATCACTGTAGTATCTGAACACCTCCCTGTCTCTAATGTATTTAGCTTCACAACACCCCTGTAAGGTGGAAATGGGGGACTGAGGCACAGAGATTTTCAATGACTTGTCCATGGTCACATAGGAAGCCTTTGGTAGAGCAACGAATTGAACCCAGGCTTCCAGAGTCCTAGGCTAGCACCCTAACCATTAGACAGCTTTCATCCTGATGGGAGCTTTGCCACTGAGTTGAATGGGGCCAAGGTTTCCCCTAAATCTATGAAGCTGAATGACTCGCTCATAAAAAATGCATGAGTTCATTGTATGCAGTGGTTTTTAAAAAGTTAATTTAATTATAATGAAAATTGCTATACTTGAATAAAATCTTTCATGTTTTAAAGAAATATTAGGAAGGGGGTTAAAAATTAATGTATCAACTCTACATAACAAAGGGATTTTTAGGCAGGCAGAATGGAATTACCATTACATTTGAATTGTCTTTCCTATTGGGGTCAATGCCCCTATTCTTGAAAATGTACCGTGGAATATTTTTATTATGACAACTTGTCACAGCCTTGGTTTTGCATACTGCACATCTTATCCAAAAGATGGCAGCTCTAGCAACACAGCACACCCTAGCACTATGATGGGGATTTGGTTCAGTATGAACTCAGGGGAAAGCGCACCATGTACTGAATGGTCAAAACCACATCCTGGTGTACTAGTACTTTGCTTGGATATCTCTCATCTTGGAGGGGTTGTGACTGTAGTAGGGCTATCACTGATGAGAGTTAATGGACCTCAGGAGGCTGAACTTATCTTTTTATCTACAGTACAGAAATAAGACTGATAGTGGCATTGCAAGCTTCCCTGAACCACTACCTTGTCAACTGTATCAACCCTACTCTGGAGATCCTTCTTGGAGAAGTGAAAGGATTCTGTGTCCATGCAGTAGCTGAAAAATGTGAGCTGGTGCCAGTTATGATGGAGATTTGTTCGTTTCTGAGATGTGGACAGCTGTCCAGTAGGAACTGAACTCAGTTTACACGGGTCACTTATGGTAATTGTTCTTGGTCACTACTGGCTTGAAGGACATATTCCACCATCAGGCTTGCAAAGAAATCCTCATGGTCTGAGTAAAACTCGGTGGCAGGATCATGATCTGTGTTTGAACCATTAACCTATGAAGGGCTCAGTATCCCATTACTAGTCCCCCTGAGACACCCAGTACCCCTTGTCCTGTGGGGAGAAGGTTATTTGCATTTCTTTGGAATAGCAATGCAGTTCTCATGTTGTTGTGGGTGTCTGCAGCACTATTGTGATGATGATCCTCTATCCAAATACGATACGTGACCTGTATTTACTTAAACTCATAGTGACAGAAAGAAACCTACACTGTAATGGTGGAGAGAAGAGGTCTGAATCAGGTTGTATTTTGTCCATCTGGGACAAATACTACAGTTATCATAAACAATTTCTCCCAGAGAGGTTGGCATAAGGCTGGATGGGAGGAGAATGCCCTTTCCAGGAGCTTGCCCTATATTTCCCTTGCACATCTATGTTTATATCTAAGAGACAAGTTTGTTCCCTTAATTTTTAAAAGTCAGGCAAGCAAAGGAAACCTAACCCCCTGGATGGCAGAGAGAGAGAGACGAGGAGGAGGGGTCACTTTAAAGGGCCCCAGAGCGCAGACACCAGCCTCTTTTATTCACTGTGACAGCAAAGGGTCACGCTAGAAACTGCAATTGCTGGGACTTGTCAGGTGGCCTCTGATCTCTCTCTCTCTCTCTCTTTTTCATTCTCTCTCTTATCATTCTTCCTAGGAACGGACATTCCTACTGACACCTGGTTGGATAGCTGTAGACAGTGCATTGCTGAGGAAGGTAAGGTTGCTCCTGCTGCTGCAGTTGCTGGTCATATTCATCATGTTTCTAGGATAGTTTTTTTTTTTTTTTCTGTATCTAGCACATTTTTGGACCTGGAATGTCCTTTGGCATGAATTATTCCTCAGCTGAAATCAATATGACCTCTTGTAGCTATGGAAAGGCAAAAGTCTGTAGAAAACCAAATCACCCGAGGCTTCAAAAACTTAAAAATAAAATTAGGATATTTTCATGGTGTGTTGGCTGATATGTTTCTTTGCTTTTGCATTTCCTTTTGCTTTTCCTTCAAATGCTTTTGTATTTAACTCATTGGCTGCTAATCAAATAAACTAGCTCATTAAATTTCTGTTGATAGAAAAGTACATGGTTAGGAAAACTTTGGAGAATTATTTTTATAACAAACAACATTTAAAAGTATTGGATCTAAAATCATTCTTGTTTTCATGAACAAATGGTGCATGTGTTAAAGTTTATAAAGTTTAAGTATTTCTGAAAATATTTAAAGCCACAGTTATGCTTGCCAAGGTAATATTATCTAGCCATCTATAAAGTTTGTGAATAGAATATGTAAACACATCGAAAGTTTGGTCTGTAACAATGAAATATATATAAACTACTTTCTGTAGTTTAAATAGGTTGCAAATCGTCATTTGAAACAATCAAGTGTGTCCAAAGTGGCAAATACACCTTAAATTGAACCTGTCTTAAAATGGCAAGCTGCTGTGTGAGTGTTACTATTCCTAGAACTGACTCTGATAGGTTTCAACAGATGCAGCTCTTGGAATGCAGCCGGGGTGGGCAGGGAGAAGGGGAGCAGCTGACCCACCTCTTTGGCAAGGGGACATTTTGGAATCTCAGCTCATTCTGGCATGCAGTGACACTGAGACACTGACGTTTTCGGCACACATGGGCCTCTCTCGCACTGCACACAGTCATCACCCAGCAGGAAAAAAAAAAGCCTGGTTCTTACAGCGGAACTAACCATTCCTTTCTATAATTAAAATGCTGACTTATTATAAGCTGAATGCTTTGGGGAAGTTGAATGTGATGAGATTTTACAAGGAAATATCGGAGAGGCTTATTAAAAATATCTAGTAAATGATGCCGCTACTTATTTTATCATTACATAGCATTCCTCCATGTTCTGTCCTTGTCTAGGGGGTTAGGATCAGAATTTGAGGAAATTGTGTCAGAATGCAAGAAAATAGTGTATCTTAGGTATAATGCTATATTTGATTAGTCTCGGTGACTCATTTCACTGAGGTATTATTCAAGACCAGGACCTTTCTTTAATGTGTATTTGCTTATATTTTGTAAATGAAATAACTCCTCTGAAGAACACACAGGGCCTTCTCCCATTGAATTCAACAGAAGTTTGGCAACTGCCTTCATTGGGAGCAGGAATTTGCCCGTAGTTTATATGCATAATTTAAACAATTAATCTAATGTTATTGTATAAAAGTGAGGATTCTCTTCACACACAGAAATGGCTTCTTAAATCTAATACCTGTTGCTAAGTCTGTATCAATCTGTACACATTCTTTTACAAAACAAAGTTGGGCTTTTTTTCAGAAATACCCTCAATATTTGATGCTGAAACTGTGGGCACCATAATTTCAATTATGGACAGTATGATATAAATATGGGAAAGCTTGTGAAGTAAATTATATGCAGAAGGGCATTTGTGAATGACATGGAAATAGTATCAGAGGGGTAGCCATGTTAGTCTGGATCTGTAAAAAGTGACTAAGAGTCCTATGGCACCTTTAAGACTAACAGTAGTATTGGAGCATGAGCTTTCATGGGTGAATCCCACTTCATCAGATGTCTGACGAAGTGGGTATTCATCCACGAAAGCTTATGCTCCAATACGTCTGTTAGTCTATAAGGTGCCATAGGACTCTTTGTCACCTTTGACATGGAAATAGTATTCCATAACCCTAATAAATCTACAATCCCAATCCTGAAAGTGCTCAGGCTCAGATCCTCAGTCTAAGAATACAGAAAACCATGACTCAAATACACTTTCCCCCAAAATGTTTCACACTCTATTTGTGAAAAACTTTCCCCATTTTTAATTTCCGTGTGTCAGATTCTGAACTCCTTTACACCACTGTAAATTGTGACTAGCACTTCTGAAAGCAAGAACAGAATCAGGCCCTATCCCTTTATTGTGTTTTTGACTAAAAAAAATGATAGAATAATATTTTAAAGTCAGGACCCAGACCTATTTTTTAAAGTTTATACTTAGCCAAACTCATTTTACTTCTGAGAAATAGAAGCTTCTAAATTTGGATTTAGGGAACTCTTGCAGTTCCATTGAATTTGTATATTAAACTCATTCTTGGGGAAACTTGATTTTTGTGATCTTGTTATAAACAAGAGTTAATTTTAAATGCATTCTTGCTCTATAACTATAATTCCAGAAGAATCATATTCAGTATTTATTATTAGCGACCACACTCCAATGCAGTCCAATAAAACACACATTTTTAAGTCTTTAGATAGTAGTAAGACATGTTACTTTGTGTTCTGTTCTTACAGTGGTTCCATTTATTGATAAAGTTTAAACTCTGTGGGGTCATCAGTCAGGTGTTAAATACTTATAACTGAAATGTAACTCTAAACTTTATCATTGTATTTTTCAGCAAGCTCTTGGCTGTGATATTCCATTGCAGTCATGGCGCCTAAAAAGAAGAACATCAAAAAGAACAAAGGCGATATCAATGAGATGACTATAATTGTGGAGGATGGCCCCCTAAGTAAACTAAATGGCTTGAATGGCTTCTTAGACGGAGGGAATGGCTTCAGCTGCATCTCAGCTGAGGTTTCTGATTCTTCTTATAGCCCAAATCTCTTGGAAGGGCTAAGCAGAATGAGGCAGGAAAATTTTCTTTGTGACTTGATTATTGGTACCAAAACCAAATCCTTCAATGTTCACAAGGTGGTGATGGCTTCATGCAGCGACTACTTTCATAACATCTTAAAGAAAGATCCATCTACTCAAAGAGTGGATCTCAATGATGTATCCCCATTGGGCCTAGCCACTGTTATCACCTATGCTTACACTGGAAAGCTAACTCTTTCACTCTACACAATAGGTAGTATCATTTCCACAGCAGTCTATCTTCAGATTCACACCCTTGTAAAGATGTGCTCTGATTTTTTGATGCAAGAAATCAATGTGGAGAACTGCATGTATATTGCCAATATTGCAGAGACATATGGACTAAAAAACACCAAGGAAGCAGCACAGAAATTTATTAGAGACAACTTCATTGAGTTTTCAGAAACAGATCAGTTCTTAAAACTTACTTTTGATCAAATCAATGAACTCCTTGCAGATGACGACTTGCAGTTGCCTTCTGAAATTGCTGCATTCCAGATAGCAATAAAATGGCTGGAATTTGACCAAAAAAGAGCAAAGTATGCTGCAGATCTCTTGGGCAACATTCGTTTTGGTACAATCTCTGCTCAAGACTTGGTCAATTATGTTCAAACTGTACCCAGAATGATGCAAGACACAGACTGCCACCGACTTCTAGTGGATGCCATGAACTACCACTTGCTTCCATATAATCAGAATACACTGCAGTCTAGAAGAACAAGGATTCGTGGAGGTTTCAGAGTCCTAGTTACTGTTGGGGGACGCCCAGCATTAACAGAAAAGTCCCTTAGCAGAGACATCTTATACAGAGATCCTGATAATGGATGGAAGAAGCTTACTGAAATGCCTGCTAAAAGTTTTAACCAGTGTGTGACTGTGATGGATGGATTTCTCTATGTGGCTGGTGGTGAAGACCAGAATGATGCCAGGAACCAGGCCAAGCATGCTGTCAGCAATTTCTGCAGGTAAATGATTATTTATATGGGAAGGAGAGGCAGATTCCACATTGTGCAGGAGCATATCCAAGCTTGTGTACAAAACTTAGCAAAACCAGATAAGATTGTTAGCAGGGAAGAAAAAGGATGATATTTAAAATTTTAGCTATTACAAATGTACGACTAAAGTCATGCATAAAGTCATATCCATCTATAATCGCAAATGTATAAAGACCACCACTCCAAATCAGAAAATCTACCTCAAGCCAAAATTAAATAAATAATGGCTATTTAAATATTAAAACACAGGAAAATTGTAAGTAGCATTAATGTTATAACAGACCAAACAAGGCAAGAATTCTTCGAGTTCAAGAGCTATTGATGCCTTGTGGAAAACTTTGAAGAACATTTTTTTAGAAATGATTGTGATTCTTTTTTTATTTTCAACATTTTTTCTATATTTCATTTATTTTGGTCTTTATTTCTCACGACATAGGTTTAGAAGCAATATCTTTGTTTCTTAAATGCTACGTTGTTCCCACCCGGGTCAAATACACAAAATGCTGCATAGTTTCTGAAGGACTGCAGTTCCAGTGCATTGTCCCCCTAGAACCGTATGAGTGGCAGTAATGTAGAACACAAGAAGATTTCAACCTAGAGGCCTGGGGTCAAATTATTTGTAAGGGAAACTTTCTACTGATTTTAAAACGTGTTCTGCCTAAGAATCAATGATACATTATGGGCCCATAAATGGGAAAACTCATGGATCTCAGTATATATATATCTAATACACTGTCTAATAATAATATAGAAGCATAAATTGTATGCCTCTCTTTTAGCAGCTTCCCAGCACACCCAGCTGTTACTCTGCTACTGTTGAGGACAGCCCCTGAGCAGGAATGCCCAAATAACCCCTCCTAGAAGGGTGATCAGTGAGTGTACAGGGAGAACTAATACAGCACTAACTTCCTCTGTTGTTTGGTCGGTCGGTTTAGTCATTTATGCCAATTTGCTAGAGCAAAACATTGCATAGAGGAGATGGTCCCCCAGCGACCCCCCTTTATTTCAGGCCCTGCCTGACTTTTATGTAGCAGAACTCAGCCCACAGATATTTTATGTGGACTGCATGGTGGAAATTAAACAGCGAGCTGGAATAATACCACATAGTCACAGGAGTCAGTGTGACCCAACCTGAATTCTATTCCTAGCTTTGCCATTGACCTTGAGCAAGTCTCTTCGCTTCTCTGCATTAGTATAATTGCTTTCAGAGATATGGATGTAAAATGTCAGACAAGAGCTAACTCTTATTATTTATATTTCCCTCCTAAGAGGTTGTCCCCAGCTCCTTTTTTATGTGAGCTCTACCCACCTGCTGGTCTCCATGCCCTCTGAAGACAGGAACATGTGGGCCTAGCAATTTATCTGCTTCACCTCTTATCCTTCCAAAGAAGTCATAGTCTTCTATTTGTGACCTCAGAATTGATGGAGATGCTTAATGTTTTGAACAGAGAATGTCACTTCCAGCAGGCTCTGACCTGTGGAACCAGTTGAGATGTTAAAAAACAAAAATCCTAGTTTCATGTAAATTTTATTTAAAATGAATAGCAATGAAAGGAAAATACCTAAAATATCATACATATTAATATGCAGAATCAATAATAAATGAAATGTTATTCAGAGATTTTTCATAATGTGAAAGCAGCCCTCAGAAGCTGAAGCTCTTCCTTGTTTTGTCCTGTAATGAAAAATAAATTAAGTACAACATCATGAGTATAAAACAGATCATCAGCCTTAGCCTTGAAATACCTTTGCTTTTTCTCATCTGCATCAGGAGCCTAGGGTTATACATACCCCCCGTTTCTCTGTGCCTGAGCATGTGGCATGACCACTGATATCCACAGGATTTGCATTGCAGATCAAAGGCAGTTTATGACCTTCAGTGTTAGGTGTGTTTTAGTGAATTCGTCAGATCCTTGATAATTTTTAAACACTTGTTTGCATCTTTCTATAATGACCTGATCCTGAAAATTCTTACTGATACTAACAGTCCCAATGAAATTAATGAAACTTTCTCTGAGTAAGGATTTTTTGCATTAATAAGTAGTTGCCAAGTTGGCCCTCAATATTTAAAATGCATCTTTTTACTGACAACACATACCATTTAAAATGCTTGTATAGCGCTTTGAAGATAGAAATACTTACAAAGTGCCATATAAATTCTTAAAAAGCAACAGAGGGTCCTGTGGCACCTTTGAGACTAACAGAAGTATTGGGAGCATAAGCTTTCGTGGGTAAGAACCTCACTTCTTCAGATGCAAGCTTATACCCACGAAAGTTTATGCTCCCAGTACTTCTGTTAGTCTCAAAGGTGCCACAGGACCCTCTGTTGCTTTTTACAGATTCAGACTAACACGGCTACCCCTCTGATATAAATTCTTAATTATTACTACCAAAAGGCCCAATACTGCACACATTGGGGTGTTTGGCAAGATTCCTATTAACTTCAATAGCAACAATACTGGGCTTTAAAAGAACATATGACCAGGTACAGTACAGAATATATTATATGAGAACAAATTTAATAAATTCATCATTGTATTTATTATAAAGGAGCCACTATGTCACTTGTAAAGACTGGTCATGCAAAATCTTGAGATGCATATTACAAGACACATTTGAAATTAAATTACAAAAAAATAGAAAATTGTATTTGAAATTAGATAGTGTACAGGCACAATAGTCACTTTCCGAGGTTCTTAGGCGGTTGTGTTTTTTAAAATCAAATTACTGAAGGTAATTAGATCAAATTATGTGCTAAATACATGCCAGATTTTATTGACAAAACTATTTTTGAATTACAAAGATACATTTCTCACCTGTTATAGAATGAAACCTATTTTTACCAAAATTTAGCAAGAACTCTACCTTTCAGTTCAAGTGAATTGTAATAGCCAGACAATAAAAATTAAACAGTGATTTAGAAGCCCCCACAGTTTTAACTATAGAGTGGCAGATGCGACGTTGTAGGCCTTCCCATAGAAATATTTGAGTATTTTGATTGCATCAGTTATTCTCTGTTCTTAATGTTTGCAGATATGATCCTCGTTTCAACACATGGATTCACCTGGCCAACATGAATCAGAAGCGCACCCATTTTAGCTTGAATGTATTCAATGGCCTCCTTTTTGCAGTGGGTGGTCGCAACTCTGAAGGGTGTCTATCCTCAGTTGAATGCTATGTGCCTGCAGTTAACCAGTGGCAAATGAAGGCACCACTGGAGGTAGCAAGGTGCTGTCATGCCAGTGCAGTCATAGATGGTAGAATCCTGGTCACAGGAGGTTACATAAATAATGCTTACTCCCGCTCTGTGTGTATGTATGACCCCAGCAATGATAGCTGGCAGGATAAGTCCACCCTTAGCACTCCAAGAGGATGGCACTGTGCTGTTTCCCTTGGGGAGAGGGTCTATATCATGGGTGGGTCCCAACTGGGGGGTCGGGGTGAAAGGATTGATGTCCTCCCTGTTGAGTGCTACAATCCTTATGCTGGCCAGTGGAGCTATGCTGCTCCCCTGCCAACTGGAGTGAGCACTGCAGGTGCTTCCATTCTTAATGGGAAAATTTACTTGGTGGGTGGCTGGAATGAAATAGAAAAGAAATATAAGAAGTGCATTCAGTGCTATAATCCGGATCTTAATGAATGGACTGAGGAAGATGAGTTGCCTGAAGCCACAGTAGGAGTATCTTGTTGTACCATTGCCATGCCCAATAACAAAACCAGGGAATCCAGGGCTAGCTCAGTATCTTCTGTGCCAGTCAGTATTTAAAGATTATAATTAGGTTTCATCAAGAATAAATAAAAAACTTTTATTTACACAGCTGTGTAGTTAACCCTTTAAGTAGCCTTCTCTGCTTTATGTGGGGTGGGAAATTGCCATTGTAAAAATTTTAATTTTACAAAACTGGCCAATTTTCATGATCTTTAAAATACATGGTGTGAAACAACATCTTTAAGATACAGTAAATTTACTTAGTGGGAATATAATGTTGTACCACAGTTAGAACAGGGACTCAGTCCTATCCCTAACTTTGCCACTGACTTGCTGTGTTACTTTTGGCAAATCACTTAACTTCTCTCTTCCTCTTTTTCCTCATCTGAAAATGGGGATAATAATCAACTAATGTTTTTAAAGTGCTTTGAGACCTTGGCATAAGAGGCACTAGGGAACAGCCAAGGATTATTATTAATAAATCTTCATATATTAGTAATATACCATGGCATCATAAACTTGGTCACTTTTGTTCTCTTTATAGATTTTATATATGGCGAAAGATATTTAACAATTTATTGCACATATCAAGTATGAAATATATATTTTCCCCTCTATGTAGTGATGTCCACAAACAAGTCTTCAAAACTTTATTTCCCTTACTGCATTGTGATTTACGATGTAGACATTTAATTTTTATAGGTAGGTCTGTGACACGGATTTCAAGAGCCAAACTGCACAAATACAGAAGCTTATCTGTCCATTATGGGCCAGTCCTGAGGACCTTGCTCAGGGCACCAGGCTCCTCCACCCCCCTCCACACACACAAGGGAGCCTACATCTCCAGAAGGGGAGATTCCACCTCTGTTACATACTCACTGGAAATCACTCCATGGGGACTTAGCAGTGTACAAGATCAGCAGAGATGGAAGGGGCAGGCCCATCAATAGTCCTGCTTCTACAGGTTCCCACCTGCAGAGGAAGAGGAACACACTATAAGTTAATATACCCCAAGACTGTCTTCTGTGCTGTAAAAGAAACCCACCCTAGAGGTGTCCGGTGTAACCACCATATTGAGAATCCCAGGAAGAAGAACTCCTGCTTGGAGCCAGACGTAGCTGCTGGTGTCAAAAGCAGAGTGGATACAAAAATAATCTTTTCTGCTCAGTCCAACAAATTCCCATTGGATTAAGGAATAAGGACTGAGTAAAGGTCGCAGGTTTTGGCCCAAAGCATAGTTAGGTGGGGAATAGTGAGTTGTAAGGCAAAACTCTGGATTGAAATGGAATAGGTTTTCCAGACTATTAATGATGGGATGTTTTGATGCCTCCATTACCAGTCACAGACACAGTATCCCCAAAACTAAGCTTTTCCTGGCCTTACCTTTGTGTATCATAGAAGTGTAGGATTGGAAAGGACCTCAACAGGTCATCTAGTCCAGTCCCCTGCACTCAAGGCAGGACTAATTAATAACTAGATCATTCCTGATACAGCTTCTTGTGCTGCCTTGAACACAGCTCTTTTTATAATGTGACTTTTTATTGCATTTTGCCAAAGACTTAGGGTGAAATCTTGGCCCTGTGGAAGTCAATGGAAGTATTGCCATAGCCTTCAGTGGGGCCTGGATTTCATCTTTACTCTCTAAGAATTGCTATCTTGGTTGCAGCACTGTGCATGGGCAATTAAGCATGCAACTGCTGCTAATTTTCATTGCCAATGGGACATGCACACCCAATTTCCTCTGCGATGTGCCTAGAATTGACATCTAAAGATCTGTTATTAATAAAGATTTATACACCCTTCAGCTGGGAGGAAATAAGCAATTAAATGAACTACAATGATTAGGTAAGAACTCACTCAAACTGGAAGAACACACTCTTGTACAGATTCATACAGCCTTCACATACAATTTTCTCTGAATGCAATGAACACCTCAAGGGGGCAGTGTCCATTAGAAGGCAAAGTCAACCAGAAAGCAATGTTTACTGGTCACCCAAGTGCTTTACCCCAATCACAAAGGGAATCCTTTCAAACTATCTGCAAATGCAGGAATTCTTTGGCCAAGCATTTGCAGCACTCTCATAACCTGAGCATTCTTTGGCAAGTAAAGTTATATATTAAGCATTGGCAATTAACATGATATTGTGTCAGAAATCTGAGTTACATAAAAAAGTGACTCACCCAGTCAACTGGGATTAAACTGAGTTTTGCACAGTCCGGTTTTCCATTTGGTCTAATAGAGTTAAGGATCATGACTACATTTTAAGTAATTCCTAATCCCCACATTCTATTTTTGAGTATTGTGCATTATTAGGATATACTGCATTGTACTGACTTACAGTCAGAAGTCTTATTACAGTAGCGTTATCACTGTGTCAGTATTGTATATAATTTAGTTTGGCTAATTTAATTTAAATACAATTACATTTACACTTTATATTGTATAATTTAAATAAATAACTCAGATCTATAGTGATTTAATCCAACATAATGTAAAATTGAGTGAGTATAATTTCATTTTAATATAAAAATGCTGTTCTTGCCCCCTTCAATCAGCAGTAACATTATTTGATTATTTTACTCTTCTCATATAAGATCCTGGACACACATTCCACGTGAAACCATTTAAGTGGCCCTTTGTAAAATCTTTCTGTCTGCTACAATAATTCTCTGTAAAGACTACAGTTATCCTTTTGTTAAAAGTGGGTGTTCAGCATCCATGCCAATGCATATAACACAGACATCTATGCACTCATGTTAGAGGTCTGCTAGGTATTTCTAAAACACTCATCATCGTAGTAGTACCTAGGTGGTAAATAACTAAAAATACAAATAAATAATCATTTTGATGTCAAACTGTGTTTGGGAAAAAATTGTGCCACATGAAAAAAAACAAAAACAAAAAAACCGAGGAGTCCGTGTGGCACCTTAGAGACTAACAAATTTATTTGGGCATAAACTTTTGTGGGCTAGAACCCACTTAATCAGATGTATGAAGTAAAAAATACAGGATATTCTTTTAGAATATCAATTCCAAAACTAGATGTACAATAAAATGTAGTCCGTTTTTGCAAAGTTCTCTCATGAGCAGATATCCCCCCCCATAAACAAACAATGATCTGCTTTCATTTTGCAAATGAAGTTATTTAGGAACTATGGGCTAAGTGTACTGGAATTACTCTTATGCTACTTGAAGGGTTAACCATTTGGGCCAAATCCTGTTAATCTTGCTCACACAATTTTGAATAAGGTAAACAGGATTTGGCCCGATAAGGCAAATTCTGTCAGAATATTGTACATAAGTGCCTGACAAAATAATCCATGCCCAGAAGATAGAACACTATCTCAGTTCTTAGTCTGCTTCCGCCCCACTCGCATACCCTCCACAAATCCACAAGAAGTGTTCTGAGGCCTGGGTCAAAGGACATTGTACACATATCCCCAACCCAGCTATGGTCCTTACATTTACCCCACCCTTGCTCAAATTATATGTGCTTCAGGCCAGAATAACCAGTACATGGGTGGGTGTGCAGGGGCAGTTGTTACCAGCATAGGGGTACACTGTACTGCTGCTTTTGCAGAGTGTATATCTACACCTGCTTAGAGTACAACAGCACACTGAACCTGGATTTGACTCTTAGCATGTGAACGTGTAAGGCTGAACTTAATTTAATCTTGATTACACCAAGTATCTATTATTGCTTAAATTGTGACATTTTTATATAATATTCATTAGAACTGTGAAAAATGGTTTGTACATTACACGTGGAACAATTTTCTATCATTGTCCTGTATGGTATTTTTGATCCCAAAATATTTAATAGTAACAGCTAGGTTGAAACTGGAAACATTGTATATTCCTAAAAGGGATTTTAAAGAATGTAGTTTAGGAAACAGAATATAGGATAAAATTATTAAGAATAATACAGACGATCTTCCATCTGAATAAAATACAGATTGTTAATTTAACACAACATCAGAATTTGAATTTGCTTTAATACTATAGAAGTAAAAAAAAGTAATAGAAGTTTCAAATTCATCTGGTTACTTTAATCTGCCTATGTACTTACAGAGTTCACATGACTAGTATCTGTGTGCCTCCCAAGAATTTAAAAATAGAAATAATTTTTCTTCACATTCTGTAAATGAAATAGTTTTATAGGTTTATAGTTTGCCTGTTCATTTCTCTTTGGGTGGCTGAGAGGGTGTGCTATGGGCCTGTGTGTGAGAAGAATATACTGTGGGAAAACTAAGTTAGAAAGGTAAGTTTTGCTTTTAAGTTTTGCCAATTGTCATATTATCTCTTCCTGAAGTGAGTTCTATAACCTACATCCAGTTCCCATGAAACTTCTGTTTCCTGCAATTAACACACCTCCCGCAATTAGCTAAGAGTTTCATTGTTGTGTTAGATCACAGATGCCAACAGCAGTTCTGGTCTCAGAAGGAAGAACAAGCTCTCAGGCAGTAGGACCAGTTCTCAGATAGTTAGAGGGCTTTGCATATCGGGTTGAGACCTTGAACTGGACATCTTATTTATTGGGGAACCAGTGCAGAGAGAGAGGCTCTGGGTGGTGAGTCACAGCAACCTGTATTCCTAAACAGATGGGTTGCTGATTTTGCAGCAATCTGAGTTCTATCAAGGTGGGCGGCTTTATTCCTAGCTATGAGTTGCAATCATCAAACCTGAAGGCTGCCAGTGTATGGAGTGTGGTCCTGACTGTGATCAGACCTGAGTCCTGTGGTCTGATGTCATCCTGAGTTTGGTCAGGTCTGAGTCCAACTTCCAGCCAATCACAGAGAGAAGTGGGCTATTTTGGGATCTACAATAAGGTATCAAAAAGTGCCCTAAATGGAGATTTTAAAATGGCATTTGGCATGGGAAAAAGGAAGTTAAGAATTAAAACTGCTGAATAGGAACATCCTTTAAATCATCTTGAAGACAAGATTAATTAATAGCCTGATTTTGCAAGCCTAGCTCTGGCAAAAACCCTCACTGACTTCAGGAGGCAGTTTTGCCTTAATCAGGAATATTGAGCCCAGGACCAAATTCTGCAACCCAGTGAGAACTCTATGCACATGAATAATCCCTTGAATTCAACAGGATTATGCATATAAAGTTATTTACATGTGTAACTGTTTGTAGGCTCAAGGCCCAATGACTAATTCAAAGAAACACATTGATGCTGGTCACAGAGAAGAGTTCATATCCTGAAAGAGGAAAAGTTCTGAAATGAGTTTTGGGAGAAGGGGGAGAGGGATTAAGGTAAAAGACTGCAGATGAACCAGTGGTGTTCACTTGAAAGTGTGGCATTGTCCACAGTACTGTCCTTGGAAGATCTCAGGGGAATAAAAATGAATGTATGCAATATCAGATAACTTAGATGAAAGCTTCAGATCATATGATAAGGTTACAATGTAAAAGACTAGTATAAAGATATTGTCACTGAGCATTAGAGTTACATTAAAACTGTGATTCGTTCGCCAGTGACCAAAAGATGTTGAGTTGTGGGAAATAAATGGCAGTATCTTTCAGTTGCTCAGAATGGGGACACATAATACAATGCAAATTAAACTGACGCATTGCCTTGGCTATCTAATTGTTGTGGTAAATACTTAAGTTTTACTTATTTGTGCTTAACAGTTTCCCATTTCATAATTGTTATACCTACTGCTTAAACAAACAGATTAATTAAATACAAATACCTTCAGAGTGGAATGCAATAATTACAAGGGAACACACATTTCAGTAGGAAAAGATTGTGCAAATTTAATGTGATAATTTTATTACTAAAAAAATATAACAATTTGTAAGATGGTGGATGCTAGTAGGAAGTCTATAGTAGCATGTTTATCATTTTTTCATTGTTTTCTTATAAATTAATTTAAACAGCTAACACAAAGAAAGCATAATTTATTCCTATTGTGAAGTCAGTTTCATATGCAACTCAAATGTTCCTATATGGTTAATTTATGATTGTGGTACAAATGTTTTGTTTTTTAAACCCCTTGTTAGTTCTATATTTCATACCAGATAATTGGAACATTCATTCAATTTTAACTGTAAATTCAACATTAGATTAAATTGTATTGTAAGACAATAGGGGCCAATCATGTCCTACCTTTTTCATTTTTTTCTAACAGAATTTCTTTCCAGTTTTGTTTTGTAAATTGCACTCAGTAATTTATAATATCCAGCATGCCTGACAGAGGATGGCAAAGCTATCTGGATTATACATTTCACATGAGAAATATTAGCAATGCATTAGAAATAAAAAATCTAAATTGCAGAAGAACTGCAGGGCAAATCCTGGAGTCAGTGGAAACTTTGCCATTGATTATTATACGCAGTGCCAAAAAAGTGTGCTTGGTGCTTTAAAACTAATATACTTCTGGAGGATTTGGTTCCTCTGTACTTCAAAGTTTTCTATTTTACTGCCAGTGGCAATTTATCCCTTACTGGATTGAGATGCCATAGTTGGATTTTTAAGCAATGGCAAATGTTGATAAAAGCACTGAAACCCTAATTCAAAAAAGTACTTGAGCATGTGCATAACCTTAAGGCTGAGTAAAGTGTTATGCTGTAAAGACTAGTCTGTCTGTGAGATCTGGATGATAAAGTTAAAACTTACTCGTTCTCAATCTGTAAGAAAGTCAAACTGCAAAAATGAACATTTAAAATGGCTGCAGATCCAAGACTAAATTCTTTTTCCACCAAAGTCAACAGAAGTTTTGCCATCACTGGGATCATGATCTGACTGCTGCATACTCTAGTCTGGTCAGTGTAATTTCTCATACTCAGTAAGTCTGGTCAGTGTAATTTCTACTACACTGTCATTGATAAGTTACCATCCACCTACTGGACTACGATGCAACAGGTCCATCTTTCACTATCAAAAATTGACAAAGGTATTAAGTGAGGTGTTAAAGGATCTTTTATGCTATAGAAACAGGACTGATATTAGGAATTAATGTAAATCTAATTTATTAAAAGAGAAGGAGAATATTATGAGCTTATTTGTAAGAGGCTTTAAGAGTTAGAGGAGGAAAATTGAGGTTTAGTGATATTTTTAATACAGATATTTTTGTAATTATGAGTATAAATATTTGTTTCCCTAGAAAGATAGGCAAAAAAAAGTCAATCCTTTTTCTCTATGCACTGGCCAATACTACTTTTAGACTTTTTTAAACACAAAAATTATTAGATGGAAAGTTAAAAACCTGTTAAGGTGTGTGATAGGTGTGTATATACCAAGTGAATATTTGTGTATTATGTATGCACATCTGCACACATTGAATAAACACACACACACACACACACACACACGTGTGTGCCAAGCAGATTGTAGAAAATAGATATCTGTATATTTATGCAAGGAGAGTAAAACTGGAAAAACAACAACAAAAAATGTTTCTTTCAAAGTAACCGAGGGACAAACTCTGCGGTCTTTACCCAGGCAGAACTCCTACTAAAGTCAGTTAGAGTGGTGATGCAAAATACATAAATAAAGTTTGCCATAAATGACATTCTTAGGGTTGACCAGGACTGTGTTTGCAAAAGTATATACAAAAGGATTATAGTGTACATAGAACTGGCTTTCAAAAGTATCCCATCCACTGTCACTAAATATGTAGAATCTAACTGTATACAGTATATGTATTTTCTACTGGGTAGTGTCAATTAATTTGGTACATTTTTGTAAAGATTGTTCCAATGAAAATATTTTCCTTGTGCTTTTTGATGATCCTAGTATCCTGTTTAGGATGATCTGTGGAGTACAGTTCATGCACTGTCTTGTTTAAACTGAATCATCATTAAAACTGTATCCGGTAACAAGTGATGTGAATAGACCGTGTGATTTTGAAATGTTTCTCCATATTGTCTTCTGTTGATATGCATGTTCTGGTTTATATGTTGAGTCTGCATTTAATTTCCTTTGAATTTAAGTGGGGGGAAGGGAGAGGGGAGCCAAGAAGACTCAATTACTTGCATCTTTTCTACAAGTGAGTGAAGACACGTTGGTAGAGCCGAAACTGTTTCCCCAAAAGATCTGCCAAATGTGAAAGCTAGGAAACAAGTTATAATTAATACAAACATTGTATAAATCATATACAGAATCCATTATAAACATTAAAATTTTCAAACATTAATTGAAGATTCATCAAACACTATATATGATCACTAAGATTTTCATTTTGGGAGAAATCCATTGAAAATGTTTTCTGAGATTGGCCCAGGCTGGTAGAGACAGGCATTGTAACCAGCTGATGGCTACTTGGTGGCCCAGTATACGTGAAAGGAGTATGCTCAGTTCCTAATGGAGCAAGGACTGTCACAAAAAAAGCACCATGCTATACATTGCCATCACTGGCAGCATCACCAAGGAGGCCAAGACAGAGATGCTGAACTACCCTACCATCCAAAGGCATGCCTCAACCCTGATATTAGTAAAGCAGTGTGAGAAGGCAATTACACTGTCACTGCCCAGGCCTTACTGGATTGATTTTGGACTTGAATCTTTGGGCCTCTCAGTCTTGCACCTTTCATGCAAGCAATAGACTCCAAAAAAGATGCAGCCATAACTTCTGGGCAGCATTTAATCAATAAGTCTGACATTACTGACACTTTATATACCATTTGTAAAATGATGGTCCCATTGACTACAAAGGGGCCTGAATTTCACCCAACATAATTTGAAACAGTTAAATAAAATAGATTGTTTTTCATTTCTTTGCATAATTGGTATTGAATTGTATTTAGACTAAACAAGAAGTATTTATTTATATCTATCACTGAGGAAAATCTACATATAGACAGGGGAATCCATATAGAATATGAGTGATCGTATTGGTGCAAATAGCTGCATAATTTCACTTTTTGCCAAGTTTCCACCCACAGCCATAAAATGCTGATCTTTAATTGCTCTACTCACCATTTTGCCTTCCTGTCTCTGTTCTGTCTCTTCCCCACAAGGAAGGGGTGGGGTTTGAGTGCATTTCCTGCACCTGCTCCACTGCTACTGACCTTTAAAGGACAGAATGGGGTCAGCATTGAGGGGATCCTTCCAGGCGTGAAGAACAGCAATCGAGTCCCCTCCCAACCCATTTTCCAGACCTTGTCTGAACTAGAGAGATCAGTCAGTGGTAGGATACCGATTAGCTTACTTATTGTTCCACCATCAATTGATTTTTCCCATACCACTCTCTGAACTGGTGTCAGGTTTGCCCTTGTGTCCACCTTAGGGCTGCGTTACATCAGTTCAGGTGGGATGGCTCTCATATCTGATAGCAGTTGTCGTTCGGGGTGGGGGGTGGGAAACGGAAGATTGAGGAGTGTGAAATGAGGAGGGGAAACAGAGGGGAATGTGAAAGAGAATTTGTAGATTTTATGGGAAACGGAAGCCGAATGTAAAAAGGAAAATTTCTTGAAAAGAAAGGATAGATGAACTTGAATGGAGAGGGAGAAATAGACAAAGTATTTAAAATATGACATAAAAAAAGAAAAGATGCTTACAATATGAATGAAGATATGCACAATAGTACAGTATAAAGGAGGAAAGAGTGGGGAGAAGAAAGGGAAAAAATAGACATTAAAAACAGGAGGTCAATTAAGTTAATTTTATATTTTGCTATTTTTAAATAAATAAAATATCCAGTGATTTGATTGCATATTTTTTGTAAAGGGTGCTTACCATAAAAATGAGTCCTGTTCTGAGGATAAATCTAAGTCTATCTCATTGCAGTATAACAAGGTAGAAAATGGGGAGAAAGTTTGCCCTATTGCAATGATAGCCACATCAGGGTAATGTAAATGTGTGCGGGCACTTATGCATGAACTCAGGTATATATGCCTGAGGAAACAGGTGAGTTTTGCAGCATGTGACATATGCTATTTCCTTGTTTTCTAAATGTAGATTCCATATAAATCAAGGTGCTCTTTGTGGGGAGGGCAAAAGGACTTGTGGGAAAAGTAGTGAGAGAAACCGTGAATGCATGTTGGGATAACTCATGCTTTTACCTCCAGATTTTGGCCCCAAATTATTCCTCTGGTTACTAGGATAAAACACTGAGTGCTAATGATCTATGGGTTAAAATGTTCTGTGAGATCCAGTATAATCTGCAGCTTACACAATGGGGCATGCAACATTTTAATTGAACATGATCACACCTTCAAACATACATGGGAGGGGGGAGAGCAGATTAAAATGGGAAGATGGTTAGCTGGTGTGCAAGGAAAGTCAAGAGCAAGCAAGAGATGGACCTGTCAAACAAAACCATCCTGAGAGGTGGCACTCTTTCTGAGGCATGACGTTCCAGCTGTATGGGTCCGTGGGCCTTCTTAAACAAATTAGGATAAAAATCACATACTGTCCATATGCAAGAGGCATTTTTCAAATACCCATAGCCTGGTTATTTCTAAACCACATTTCATCATGTCAAAACTACTTCTGCAAGGAAATGCATCTTTCTTAAAGTGGACAGACTCATGTTCGGATAATTTTAAAATGGCATAACACAATTTTACCAACTTTCTAAATCAAAATCAAACCAATCACTACCACCTTTTGGCTGCATATGAAAGTGTCACCAATTCTTTTTTCAAGAAGCAAAATGCCTGTGAACAGGGGCACATAATGAAAATACCTTGTGAGCCATAACTACAGTGCTTCTATTCAGCTATAAACAGAATGCTGCTTTTATTAACTTGATACCAAATTGAACAGCAGATTTTTCTCAAGTTAGGTTAATGGCAGTTGAAAGCATAAATCCTTTGCTATTGAGGGGAGCATACACCGCTTTCTCTAATAAAAACAACTTTTCCCCAGTCCCAGTGTGGTTTTACATTAATTTCAGCATTGTTCTTAAGTTCAGTGGTTAAATTATACTTTTTGTTTTTTAGTAGTGCAGCGTTTGACCCTCATTATTTCCAGTAGAATATTACTTGTGCTATGTGTATGTCATCTTTTCTCCCCTTTGTTCTACTAAATCATTACCAATATTAAACACTAGAGGGCAGAGTGGAATTGATAGCCTAGCTTGGTGCAGGCTCTCTCAAGGGTATGTCTGCTGGAAGGAAAAAAGAAAAAGAAAAAATGACGTGTTCCTAACTTGGATTAACTAACATGGGTTAAAAAATATCAGTGAAGACAAGGCAACTCAGCTTTCAACTTGGGTTAGCAGCTCAAGTTCAACCCTGGGCTGCTCTATAGGCTTAAATTTGAGCTGCTATCCTGAGTTAAAAGCCAAGTTGCTGTGTCTTCACTGCTATTTTAACATGAATGGGCTATCTATATAAAGTTACAAATACTTTTGGGGGGGCAGTGTAACCATACTCTAAGGAAAGGGCAGTGGCAAAGGCAGGTTTGGGCCATATTGCAGCTATAATCTGACTGTATTGGACATGTGAGTCAAGAAATAAGTCTCACGATACTGCATGCGAACCAAGAGTCTATCTTTTGATCATGTACAGCTGAAACAGAGCAGAGTACAAGTTCCCCATACAGTGCAGTGTACGGCAGGTGAATTGAAAGAACTGGGTTTGTATCAACTAGGATAACCAGACAGCAAGGGTGAAAAATTGGTACAGGGGTGGGGAGTAATAAACGCTTATATAAGACAAAGCCCCAAATATCAGGACTGTCCCTATAAAATTGGGACATCTGGTCACCCTAGTCAACAGAACTTTGATGACAGCACAATGAAGAGAGATACCCCAAAGCAAAGTGATAAAACGTTCTTCAGACATTTATGTTTCTTTTGAATAGTTCAGGGAATTTTTCTTTCTTCACACGTACATCAAATACCCAGATCAACTCGGAATGCAGGAGATCACGTAAATGCCATACGTCAGTAAGTGTACAGCATGCCTGCATTCTGCCTGGCTGAGGCTGTGCTAGCCAATAAAATTATAGTTAACCCGTAAGTGGGTTTTGTCAATGCACCCATCATCATGCTATGGTATCTTTGCACCTAGTACAATGTATTATTAATTTATCTATCTGCCTCTTCAGCCATACCTGTCCAGGTTTTCCAAAGATCTGTTGGGCTAAGAATGTTTAGAATGTTACAGCTTTTTGTATGTAGCAGTAATATCCCTTCAGCAAATCTCTTACTATTATCACGACACATAATAAACTACACAGCTATAGGTATTCTTCCAGTTTCATGAGGAAACATAGAAATGTCGGGCTCGAGAAGTCATCAAGTCCAGCTCCCTGTGCTAAGGCAGGACAAAGTAAACTTTGTTCATGTAGAGTGTGGAGGTTTCTTTAGAATTCACCATCTTTCTTTAACATGGCATCAAGAATGACTAAACAACCATGCAGTATTGTATATGAAAGGCTAAAGACATGTACTGAAGCATGTTGCTGAGGGTGGTACAGCTAACAGAGTATCTGGGCCAGCTGCTATCCTGAAACATCTACATTGGTCCATGCATACTGGGCCTATGAGAGTTCAGTCAGTGAATTATAGTTTGCTATAATAAGAATCGTCAGTTTTCCATTAGGTCACAGTTACTGTAACAGTAGCTGATGCACTGAACTTGCCAATGCAGCAGTAGCTGACATTTCAGTTTCCTCTCTTCTGCTTTTTCGTTAGGGTCAAGCAGGTTCTAGCAAAAGGACACTGCTCATGTTGTCTGAACTTAACAGATCACTGTTTCTGAAGGAGTAAGACATTTAAAAGCCAGATTGGTAGCAACCGCTTTAAGGTGAGTCTATAAAAGGAGTTAATCCGAAATAGATATTCCTGGTTAACTCCATGTGTGTAAACACTTATTCTAGAATGATAGCATCCACACATGAAGTTAATCAGAGATAGTTCATACTTTTAAAATCACACCCTACCTTATTCCAGATTAATTTTCACATGTAGGTAAGCCTAATGGCTCCCAAAGGATCTCAACAAATGTCTAATAAATAAATTAAGGCGGAGATTATAAACCATGTGTAATACCCACTGTAGAGCACTATCATGGTACTGTGTAAATAATAAATAACACCACCTCTAGCCGTTAGCTACACCTTGTACAGTTCCTTATCAAACCATCCAGTGCAGAAAAGATTTGCATATCTCATGTACTGAAAAGAAGGAGGTGCTGAGGGACAGGGCAAAAAAGCAAAATTAGGATGGGAAGATATTTATCCAACTTCTTGTGGCATGTCCAAAGGTTGGATAATATGATTTTCGTGTGAGAAAAGGGTGTCCAGAGAGTTCCAATTTGATCATCTTGTCTTGGAAACAATTTAAAAGGCCAGACTATTCATGCGAGTTGGAACACTGAATTTGAGTAATCACAACCACTACCTTGTCAGGGGGCCTGGATGCTTTTATACTTATTAGCTCTTGTTTGATAAGATCAGGAATGCCTAATTCCCTTGATTACAGCTATCATCACCTTTTTTACATTACATGTTACACAGTTGTCTCTGTGCTCAGTTTGTTGGAAGTTCACAGGCGGTCGTGTCATCTAGCATCTTTTGCCTGTAGAATCCAACCTGGCTTGTTTCTTTCCCATGGTAAAGCAGCTTGACATATATATCAGTATTCAGTACTAGTTTAAATCATTAACCCTAGAACTAGGCCAGTACAGAATAAAGGTCTAGGTGAGAGTCTGTGCTGTGTCTCCAAAGGACCACCTTTCTACCCCACCCTGATCCCTTCCCAGGCTGTTCTGCACTCCTGGCATCATTGACACGGCCTTTGGGACCTGTACATTATGGCAGCCTCTACCTGGCTGCCTATGGGCTGCAGTGCTACATGCTGCCATCCTGTCACTGACTTGCAAGAGGGTCTTTATGGCTGCCTTCTCCTGTGCTGGCTCTGAGGAAATCCTCCCTGGCCAGATCCAAAGCTTTTCCAGCCCTATCACAGGCTGATTGGTCCCTTTAAGAAGGAATGGGTCTTGTTCATATGTGATTGGTTAGTTACCTCCCAACAGGCCTAACAGAGGGTCCTGGCCACTATAAAGATCCAGGTAGCATTTGAGAAGGGGAGCAAGAGGGAGCATCAGAAATCTCTAGA